CAATTTTATCAAAGTTTGAAATAAAGAAATTTAAATTAAACATTTATTTCTGATAAAGTGTGAACTAGATATCAATGTTTAAAATTTAGAAAACTGATTATTTTTAATTGTGGTCTCTCTGCAAAAGAGACTTTTCCACTGCAAGAAAACATATAGAAATTATCAGATATGAACACTTTTCCAACACTAGAACATCGACAGTATCTTTCATATTCAAAGAGAATAGAATATATATTAGAGGGGAATTTAGGGAATCTCTTGGTACGAATTTTTTCAGTCCCTTTCAGCCTGAAAGGGAGTTCAAAGTGTGCAAATCATGTAAATCTTCACAAATTATATGCAGTAGAGTACATTAATACAGTATGTTCCCTAGACTATTCATTTCAATTTCGAATTTTTTAAAGCTGTTAATAAACTTTATTATGAATTAGGTGAATAAAAACATCATTTGATTTATAGTTATAACGGAAAATCATCGTTTGTATAGTGAAAGGCATAGAGTCTATGTGAAATGATCATTGGTCAACTATGAAACCAGCCTATTTCATAATTTGGGTTTCTTTTAACATTAATTTTAGATTTTCTATAAAATCATATTCCAGGGCTCAAAAGGTTATATAGCATAAATATGTGAAGTATATATTCTATTCTCTATGTTCATATTACTAATCATGATGATCAACGAGGTTATAGTGTATAGAGTGATGATGTACGCTAATCCTTTAATAATTGAATAGGCCGCGCCATCAACTATACCGAGAGCGTACTGCATATTTGTTTATTATAAGTTGATTCTGGCCTAACCTTATAGTATATCAATATTGGTAAACAGTTGTAAGTGTACAGTACAACTAACTCAGCACACAGGTAGAGAACTACAGAGTGTCCCACGAAACATGACATTTAATTAATAGCTATTTTTAGTTAAACAAATCTTTTGCTTAATTAAATTTTACTTAGAAATCAATTTTGATATAATATGACTCCCATATAATATTTTTATTGATCTTTGGTATCACACAACATAACAAATTATGTAAAAAGACATTCTAAACTATTCACCATCTGTCATGTTTCGTGGGACACCCTGTATCATCCCCCCTGATGATGATGGTTTCAAGAGTATGGTTCTGAATCGGGCGTTGTTGTCTTAGAATGGAGGTTCACTTGAAATTTGGCTTACCTTTAAACAATATTTTTTGAGTGAAACGAAGACAACAACAGGGGCTGGATGTTATGAATTTTAGCCAGGTCTAAAGACGGTTCAACCACCTATTTCAATCAGTGATAGAGGATTTGTCCATGACCTGAGATGAACAAAGTTCGTTTTTTAAAAGTAGTCGTTTTTAAAACGATCGTTTTAAAAAACTATCGTTATTAAAAACGATCATTTTATAAAAATCGTCGTTTTGTTAACGATCGTTAACGACGACCCTTCGTTAACGATCGTTAACGACAAACTGTCGTTAACGATCATTAACGAATCGTATAAAAAACGGTCACAAATCGTTTTTTAAAAAACGATCGTTTTCTAAAACGATCTTTATTCGGTTTTTAAAAGTTCAAAACGAGTGGGTCGTTTTTAAAAACGATCGTTTTTTTCCAAAAACGAAACGATCGTTTTCAAAAACGATTAAAAACCCTAACTGCACAACTACGGATAAGTATTTGAACCGACGGTAGAAAGTTCAGCAACCTAACTAAAATTCAAAAAATTTGGTCCCAGAATTTTAAAATTATACCGGATTTGACTTCAAAGTAAAAAGTGTAACCTCCTTTTTTTGATGCCGTTCATTTGGAAAAATTAATGTTGACATGAAACGCTGGCCAGCTAGGTTCATTTTTAAACATCTCATGAATATTTCAAAAGGTAAACAGTATTAAAAGCAAATTATACCTTATCTTTCATTTCGTTTTTCACATGAAATACAAAATGAATTTTTAGCTTCATTTTGATTTAAATTTTTCATTATTAATTTCTAATAACTTTTAAATTATTATTAAAACGCATTATTATAGTAATTTTATTGGTAGTGAATACAGAACACACTTTAATATTAAACTTAACAAAAATAGAAATCTTAACTTTTACTTTATTTCGAAAAAAAATAATACGATAATTGACTAGTTTCACGGAAATCAGGTACATTTTGAATCAGCATAATTCACACGAATTTAAACAATTTCAACCAAAAATGCCAGGAAGGAAAATCAGGGCAGTTAAAGGCATAAGCCAAGCCACAGCCATTATAATAGCAGGTCCTGTTCCAAGTAAAGACATCAAACCTAAGATATTATAAATATAGAAATCCTTTGACATTTTTAAATTATTGCATTTGTGAAGAATTTGGTTTTGGAAGCAAAAAGATTATTTTAATATCAAAAATAAATGAAGCCACATCTTTTTTGAAGAATCCATGATGAATTTGATTTTCCAATAAAATTATATAATAAAATTATCAAATTTTGAAAGCAAAACAACGGCCAATAGGGTTAGTAACTAATTTGTTATAACGCGTTGCATGTAAAACATTTTTTTTAATTATGAGCTTGGTAAACTTTATTTTCCTCAGATACAGGGTGTCCCAAAAAACATGGGAATTCAGTGACGAATTCGATAACGAATTTGTTATGAACTAGTATTGTAATACCTAATTTCAAAAGCCATAATATTATTATGTCCGCTAGAGTTTATTTTATGAAAAGGGTAAAAGACTGTAAAGATGTGTCTATAATGTCTACGCAAGATGAACAGTGAAGACGGACAAGTTTACTCTGTTTGTATACTGCAATTTTCTTGTTTTACTAAGTACAACTGAAGAATCCATGATGAATTTATTTTTTGAATAACATTATATCGTTGTTTTGTTTTAAAATTATTAAATTTTAGCAAGCAAACCAACGCCCAAAAGGGTTAGTAACTAATTCTAAAGAACGTTGCATGTAAAAAAAATCTTTTTGGAATTATGAGCATAAACTTTAATTTTCTCCGATATAAATATCTGCTCATAATGTTAATGTTTAAACTGTTTTTACTAATTACTTAATTAAAGAAACCTGTTATAAAGGGAAGACCAAAAACAATTGAAAGTCCAACGTTTTGTTCGCTAGCAGCCGGAGGGGTCACCTGGGCTAGGGCGTTAATACCATCCTGCAAACTCTCTACTATCTAAAAAATTCTAAATTGAAATTTTTATAACAAACTAAAGATACAGGGGAAGCTACGATGAATGAGCCTTTGTAAATCAAGCATTGCCATGGAGCATGGGCATCCGTAGTTAATTTGAATTTCCGATCGCCGGGTCAACCTTTCCGGTCCCAGTTTGTACTGTACCTAGCTCTATGGACAGGACTAGCCGGTGCAACAAGGTTGTCGCGGTCAACCTTTATGCTTCATATAGATTGAATTTACTTTTACTACAGGGGCAGATTTTCGTGAGAGGGTCACTTAAAATTACGCACACAGTCCCTTTTTCCTGATGAACTAAGTAATTTGACAGAAAATAAAGCGATCATCAAATTGAACTGGCATAATGGATGTATTGAAGAACAGTTATGATCATTAAAAACCAATGTGCATTTAAAGTTTTTTATTAATTGAAATTTTCGTTTAAGGATAAGACTTTATCAATGAAAAACTGTTTAAATTCAACGATTTGAAGGTTGAAGTAATGGTCTGTCTAAAATAAGCCTTTAAATACTAAAAAGTTTTGTGAAGAAAAAAATTTTAGGCCATTGAATTATTTTTGTCAGAAAACAAAATGAATCGATTCCGTTCCGTGGGTAAACCTGGAAACAAGGCAAATTCCATACTGAAGAAGTCCATAGATAAATAAATAAACACAGATAGCTTATGTATGCAAAATCACCAAAAATTGTACAGTCCGTGAAGTTTCTCTATGCAGAAGTCCGATAGCCACGTTTTTTTTAAATCAATACAGAATTTATATAAATATATTTTGTAAAAGAGAAGAAAAAATTAAACAGTTATACTATATACTATATACTATATATTATATACTATATATATACTATATACTATATACTATATACAAAAAAAAACAATCATGAGTAATTTTGGGTTTTAAAACTGTGCCTGATTGGCAAACTTTGGTTTGCATGGGTATATACAGGGGCCAAATTCCCCCCCCCCCCCTCCCCCCCGGTCTCCCAAGAAATTATATTTTTCTCATAGAAACCCCGTGATTTTAGCAAGCTACCCCCTCCCCCAAATTTAATTACTCAAAACAGTTTATAAACCTCATACTTTTAGGTGTCGGTCACTTTCCATAATTTGAAAATGGTTAAAGACTGGTACTTTTAAAATTGAACTAGAATAAAAAAGTTTATTCATACCAAGGGTTTACTGACATAGGGTCAAACAGCTTAGGATAAACGACCCAGGGTCAAACAAATTAGGATTAAACGACCCAGGGTCAAACAACTTTGGATTAAACAACCCAGGCTCAAACGACAAACTGTCAAAAAAGTGACAAAGGATAAAGCGACAAAAAATCAATACAGAAAGAAAAAATTATGTATTATTTCAGGGTTTGATTAAGCTAAGACAATTTCTGGGCTAGCGGCTAGGACAGGCTAAGGGGGCGGATAGTAGTTCAAATGTTAAAACATAACATAAAAATATGTATTTTTTCAGAAGTAGGTTGAATTAAGACAAATTCTGGGCCTAGCGCTGCGGCTAGTAGTTCAACTGAACATAAAACATAAAATAAAAATATGTATTAATTTAGGGTTTGGTTAGGTTAACGTAATTTCTGGGCCGAACGCTGTGGCCAGGATAGGCTAGGGGGCTGAATGCTGCGACTACTAGTTCTAATGTAAATTCAAATTAACTAAAAATAGTCTAAATGAAATTTTGCACGTTTGTCGCACTTTGACCCTTAGTTTTTTTACTCTTTGTCGTGTTTTTTATCGTTTGTCGTTTGACCCTATGTCGTTTGACAATAGGTCGTTTAACCCATAGGTTGTTTGACCCTTTGTTAGTGAATCATACCAAGAGGTGGCAGAGTTGGTTCAGTGACTATTGTAGTTGTAGTTGTAGTCGTTGTTGTTGTTGTTGTTGTTGTCGTAGTCGATGTAGTTTTTGTAGTAGTGGTTGTTGTTGTTATTAAATCTGACAAAGGAACTGGATCTATCCCAGTCAAAACTAATTCTGGAAAACTGTCTTGTTCTGTTGGAGTTGGAGTTGTCAGGGTATGGTTATTAATTGGGAAATAGGTGATAAATGGTCTCTTAGTTGTTGTTGTTGTTGTAGTAGTCGAAGTGGTAGTTGTAGACGTTGTTGTTCTTGTTGTAGTTGTTGTTGTTGTTGTTGTTGTTGTTGTTGTTGTTGTTGTTGTAACAGGTGTTGATGTGAAGGCTGGAAGAACTGGAAAAGGATATTCTGGCAAACTGATCGAAATATTAGAAGAAGAGGTTGTTTCCTACAAAGAAAAGGTTTAAAAGCAAAAATATTTTTTATAATTGTAAACTAAATTTCTTACCAGCATTTCCGGATTGACTGTTGGTTTGATAGAGACTAGAATAGCTGGTTGAAAGGTTGGTTTGTATTGCGGAGGTTTGGTGATAGGTGTACCCCCAGTAGAGATCTGAAGAGGTCTAGAGGTGGTTAGTCCAACATCAGGCCGATATGTAGGTTTATATTGTGGAGGAAAGCTTGTAGTAGGTAGAGTAGCTACCATGTCAGGTCTCTTCATTTCATCTATGACATTTTCACCTTCGATGAAATCTTCATCAGGCCGCTTCATTTCATCAATGACATAATCCCCTTCAATGAAATCTCCTGGTGGCCGCTTCATTTCATCAATGACATAATCTCCTTCAATGAAGTTTTCATCCGGTCGCTTCATTTCATCAATGACATTATCCCCTTCAATGAAGTTTTCATCCGGTCGCTTCATTTCATCAATGACATTATCCCCTTCAATGAAATTTTCATCCGGTCGCTTCATTTCATCAATGACATAATCCCCTTCAATGAAATCTCCTGGTGGCCGCTTCATTTCATCAATGACATAATCACCTCCATTTAAATTGGTGGGCCATTTAATGTCATTTTTATCAGGTCGTTTCATTTCTTCAACCCCATAGTAATCATCATAGTATTGTGGCCTTTTCATTTCATCAACTGAATAGTCATTGTAGATAAAGTCTGCTGTGGGATTTTTAATGTCATCACTGTTATGATCAGCGTCCGTGAAATCATAATTAGGTTCCATCATATCGTTTATCACATGTTCACCTTTTACATGACTAATATCTAGTTCTTTAGTAGTGTTGATCACATTTTTTTCTTTAAAATTCAACTTTATTTTGTTCAACACGTTTTTCTCCCAATCTGAATATGGCTTGGAGTTCTGAAGTGGATTGTAGCTGGTTTTTTGAGGAAAATAATTAAAAGGTTTTTGGCTTGTTTTGACAGAATAATTTGGGCTTGTAGTTATTTCTGAATCTTGGTTTTTATCAGTCAACGAATGCCAAGTAATAAGCTGAGGCTTTGGGGATAAGGTTGGACTGTTTGGATTATAATAACTCACTGTAGATCTCTTTTCTGAGTCTCTAATTTTGTCTCTGGAATTTAAATCCATGTTTTCACTTTTAGTACTGAACTGTGGCTTGTTTGGAGGTTTCCCTAGAAGTTGTGGGTAGTTTTGGAGAGACAAAGTTTTAATAATCTTGTCAATGTCATCACTAAAATATCTTGTTTATTTTTCATTCAAAAATAAGATTTTGTAATTAACAAAAAAAGAAGATTAGCAGATTTAATCAATATTAGAACATGTTTAATCAATCTTAACCCTATTCCTGCTGGGGGCGGGGGGTCAATTTAACCCCCCCTTGTACTTGTACTGCCTGAGTCCTCTGCAGGCACACTTCCTGAATGACTACTTTTTCCTGAAACAAACTAAATCTTAGTTTTGACCCACTTTCAGTTGTACGATTTTGATAACTTTTTGGAAAACCTATGAGATAAGGAAAGTATTGCACAAGTTTTGCAAAGAAATTTTTCAAATTACTTGCAAACAGCCTGTCAAAAGAAATTTAAACATTTTAGTTTTTCTTAATTACATATCTGGATATTTAAAATTTTGAAATTTTTTTTTCACATTTGAAACAGCATGGTTTAGGGCTTTTTAAAAATGTATATTCATTATTTTTGTATTTTTTTGCAAACATTTTTACTATAAAACTGAATTTTGCAACAAAAATAAAATTTTTTTGCAAATTTGCATATTTTTTTTGCAAATTTTAAAAGTAGATCTTAAGAACTTCCAATGATGTATCATTTGTCATATTTGGACATCAAACATGGGATTTAAAGAGGGAGGGGGGGGAGTCAAATTGACCCCCCAGCGTATCCTGGTTTTCAAGTACTCCAGCAGGGATAGGGTTAATGTTTAATTGATATTAGAAAATGCGTAATTAATATTAGAAAATGTGCAATCAATCTTAGAAAATGTATAACCAATATTAGAAAAGGTGTAATCAATATTAGCAATTATGTGTAATCAATACTAGAAAATGTGTAATTAATATTAGGAAATTTGTAATCAATATTAGAAACGTGTAATCAATATTAGAAAATGTGTAATCAATAACAAAAAAAGTGTAATCAATATTAGGAAATGTGTAACCAATATTAGAGAAGTTGTAATCAATATTATAAGAAATCTGGAAATATTCACTTATTTGGGAAAAATATCAAGACACTTTCCTTATTGCGTTAGAGTCAGACATGGTTACTGGCCTCACATTAAAATAGCTTATTACGTTTGCCTCTGGTTTCTCTCTAAAGATATTAATTAGTAAATTGTAATAATTTCGAATTTTCGAAGTAAAAGTTGTATACAAATAAGTCTTTGTCTTATGTAAAGAAAAAAGTTTACTAAATATTCCTGTGTTTAGTTTCCGTTGAGTTGTATGGCCATATGACAGGTTCTAGAATCGGTTTTGGTAAATCCTCTAGAAACCCTTGTATTCTATCTAGGTACCCAGGTGAATTGGTTCCCTTTTTCTCTAAATAGCCGGAAGAACTGGTTCCTCTTTTATCTTGGTAGCTAAGGGAACTGGTTCCTTTTTTCTCTAGGTAGTCAGGGGAAACGGTTCCCTTTTTCTCCGGATAGCCGAGAGAATTGGTTCCCTTTTTCTCCAGGTAGCCGAGAGAACTGGTTCCCTTTTTCTCCAGGTAGCCGAGAGAACTGGCTCCCTTTTTCTCCGGATAGCCAGGAAGATGGGTTCCTCTTTTCTCCTGGTAGCCAGATGAACTGGTTTCCTTCTTATCCAAGTAGCCAGGAGAATAGGATCCCTGTAGTTTGTCCTGGTAGCTAGGAGTGTTGGGCTCCTGTAGTTTGTCCTGGTAGCTAGGAGTGTTGGGCTCCTTTCCACTGCTGAGCTCGCCCAGAGACAGCTCAGTGTTTACTCTCCCTTTTTCCAGGTTAAGAGCACTACTGCTCAGATCAATCGGTTGCCTCTAAAATTAGTTCTGCACTGTTAATTATAATATGGTTAAGTAAAGTACATATACAGTAGAGTACAGTACGGTAAATTACAATACATTAAAGTACAGTAAGGCACAATGTAGTAAAGTACATTACAGTAAAGTACAGTGTAGTAAAGCATAGTACAGTAAAGTACAGTGCAGTAAAGTGCAGTACAGTAAAGTATAGTACAGTAAAGTACAGTAAATTACAGTACAGTAAAGTACAGTAAATTACAGTACAGTAAAGTAAAGTACAGTAAAGTACAGTACTGTAAAGTACATTAGAGAAAAGTGCAGTAAAGAAAAGTACGGTACAGTAAAGTACAGTACAGCACAGTAAAGTACAGTACAGTACAGTAAAGAACGGTACAGTACAAAAAAGTACAGTAAATTACAGTACAGTAAAATACAGTACAGTAAAGTACAGTACTGTAAAGTACGGTAAAGAAAAGTGCAGTAAAGAAAAGTACGGTACAGTAAAGTACAGTACAGCACAGTAAAGTACAGTACAATACAGTAAAGAACGGTACAGTACAAAAAAAGTTCAGTAAATTACAGTACAGTAAAGTACAGTGCAGTAGATCACAGTACAGTAAAGTACAGTACAGTAAAGTACAGTACAGTACAGTACAGTACAGTACAGTAAAGTACAGTACAGTAAAGTAAAGTACAGTAAAGTACAGAACAGTACAGTACAGTACAGTAAAGTACAGTACAGTACAGTAAAGTACAGTTCAGTACAGTACAGTAAAGTACACTACAGAACAGTAAAGTACAATACAGTCCAGTACAGTGAAGCTTAAAATCCAATACAGTAAAGCTTAAAGCACAGTACACTAAAGTACAGCAGTACAGTGTAATACAGCAGTACAGTGTAGTACAGCAGTACAGTGTAGTCCAGCAGTACAGTGTATTTCAGCAGTACAGTGTATTACAGCATTACAGTGTAGTACAGCAGTACAGTGTAGTACAGCAGTGCAGTGTAGTACAGCAGTATAGTTTAGCACAGCAGTACAGTGTAATACAGCAGTTCAGCAGTACAGTGTAGTACAGCAGTACAGCAGTAAAGTGTAGTGTAGCAGCACAGTGTAGTACAGTAAAAGTTAAGTAAAGTACATTTCTGTACAGTACAGTAAAGTACAGTAAATTACAGTACAGTAAAGACCAGAACATTACATTATACTTGCATTATACAGTCCAGAAAAGTAAAGTATTGCGCACAGTAAATTACAGTACAGCGCAGTAAAGTGCAATACAGTACAGTACACTGCAGATCATTTAATGAAAATACAGTAAATTACATTACATTAAAGTACAGTACAGAACAGTGTATTTATAATTCGTACCTGAGTTTGTAGTACAACACTGTCAACTAGTATGAGAAGAGAGATACAGTACAATAACATCATCAACTCCTTTCATCATAATCCTGGGCCAAAGCATCACAAATTTTCATCTTTTTTACAAAAGTACAAATTCAAAAATCGAAAAAATTTAATTAAAAATTGGCTATTTCGAAACTTTCAAAGACTTCAATGAATTTGGACCTTAAAATTTTGCGTTTCCTAACATAGAAGCTAATTTAGGTTGGGAGAGACCTCTTCACCATGCCCTTCGCCCCCCCCCCTCCTTTACAAATATAAATAGGTATATTTTATTTCTAGAATAGATAGAGATTAAACTAGTTGTTTTCTTTAAAAATCTATGATTTTACATATGGCCAGAAAACAAAAGAAAAAAAATGTTGAGTAGCTTATTTTCCTTTTAACTTTGGGATTATTAGAACTAGGCTTTTCGGCTGCTTTACGCCCATCTTCTATTTCAATTGTGGACATTTTATCATTTTATCTTCGTAAACATTATTAAATAATATCAAAAATAGTTCGCGGATTTAAAAAAAATTTTTTTGTGGATTTTCAAGTTTAATGAAATCAAATTTTGATGTAGGCAAATTTTTTAAATTTTAATCATTCATAAACTTTCCCCGGGGTCATGTGAGGTCCCACACAAAATTTGGGCCCGATCGGTTCAGCCGTTTAGACGTTTATTGGATGCAAACAGACAATCAAAGTATATATTTAGATATACAGGGTGTCCCAAATCATATTGGATCTTCATTCGGTCTAAATTACGATTTTCGGGATTTATTCTCTTCCTAATAATTTCCCCCTACTTATTAGACGAAACACCTCCAATTGTATGATTTAAAAATTATATTATACAATTACATCCGGGTTTGCCATTAAAGACAGCCAATGTTGGGTTGGCAAATCCCGTCATTCAAGTGTTAATTTAAAGAATATATCCATGTAAAATTATGTACTTTAATGATAAATATCTATCTATCCATCTATCTATCTATCTATTAGAAAATTTAAGAAGCATGAATCATTTTGAAAAATTGAATATCAGAATTTTCTTGCGGAAAATACTAGTTTTTTCGAGTATTATGGTTGTATTGGGGCGTTAAGACTTGGATATAATCTAATATTATATGAGACGCTCTGTATTTGAGGTTATTATTAATTGAAATTAGAATAGTAATGACAAGTGATCAAATTTGGGGTCAATCTGGTCCATCACATAGAACAGTTATCAATCAAAGCATAGGGTGCATTTCAAACAAATTATTTAAGCCTTTTATTGTACAATAACCCTGAGGCTGAATAAGTTTAAATAGTAAATTTCAAACCTGGTACGGTTAAATGGGTGCTTAGAAGGAAATTTTTAGAAAGACAATTCACAGATGGACATTTTATAGACAAAACATTTCATAAAAATGACGTTTCATAACGAGACATGTAACAGACAAGACATTTCATAAATATGACGTGTCATGAACTGGACATTTCATGAACAAGACGTTTTATAAACAAGACATTTCGTAAACACAGTTAATAGACAAGACATTTCATAAATATGACGTTTCATAAACAAGACATTTCATAAACAAGACATTTCATAAACAAGACATTTCATAATAAACACATTTCATAAACACATTTAACAGACAAGGCATTTCATAAACAAGACATTTCATAAGCAAGACATTTCATAAACAAGACATTTCATAAAGAGGACATTTCATAAACAAGACATTTCATAAACAAGACATTTCATAAACAAGACATTTCATAAACAAGGCATTTCATAAACAAGACATTTCATAAACAAGACATTTCATAAATATGACGTTTCATAAACAAGACATTTCATAAACAGACGTTTTATAAACTAGACATTTCGTAAACACATTTAATAGACAAGACATTTTATAAACAAGACCTTTTTTAAACAAGACATTTCGTATACAAGACATTACATAAACAAGACATTTCATAAACAAGAAACTTTATAATCAAAGCATATCATAGACAAGACATTTAATAGACAAGACATTTCATAAACAAGACATTTCATATACAAGACATTTCGTAGACAAGGCAAATTTTTGACATGAAGTTTCACAGACAAGACTAGGAAGGAAAAGATTAATCGTTTTGAAAATCAATAAAACTTTAATAATTTCAAATCTGTATTATGTTAATGTCTGCATTGTTTTTGGACCGTTTTGGAATAATTTTTGCGCGCAAATGTCAAGGTCGAAATTTGACAACGTGTAAGAAATGCAAATGGTTGGAATACAAAATCTAAACATTTTGTGTACTCGATGTTCTTAAAACAACAAATAGTTTTAGCAATAGCTTGGATATCAAATTAAAACGTGAAATGTGTATATATGCACCCCCCCCCCCCTCTCATAAGCCATGCCTTGTATGAGACAAAAGCCGAACCGGGAAAAGTTTAACCCTATTCCTGCTTGGGGGGGGGGGTCAATTTGACCCCCCCCCCCTGTAGTTTTTTTTACATAATTCAAAAAGTATTGGTCTGAGGCTGTTGAAATTTTCTGACTTTTCTTACATACCCAAAGCCCTCCCTTTAGGCCTAAAACCGGGCTTTAATACTAACTGCCTGAGTCCTCAGGCACACTGCCTGAATTACTGCTTTTGCCTGTAACAAACTAAATCTTTGTTTCATATCCTGGTTTTCAAGTACCCCAGCAGGGATAGGGTTAAAATCTTCTATGGGTCAACCGATTTTCAGGAATTAATTGCATCATTTACTCTCAGACAAATTAGAATCAATGGAAATTTAAACCCCCGAGGGATTCAATGAATAACCCTTGGGCTACGCCCTCGGGTTTATCATTGAATCCCTCGGGGGTTTAAATTTCCATTGATTCTAATTTTTTTGAGAGTAAATGACATTCCTTTTTAAAGAGGGGATTCAATGATAAACCCGAGGGCTTGCGGATTTTGCGGATTTTTTTTTGCCTTTGTAGATTTTCAAAGTATCTTTCAATGAAAATATCCCGGCGGGATTAAATGAATATTGTTGCAAACCAAAAAAACAGCTTTTTATAAAGGAATGATCTTTTTATGAAATTCATGAACTTTCCTTTAATCTCCAACTTTCATTTTCACTTCATTATTGTAACAAGGGGCACATGAAACTAAAATAAAAGAAAGTTTTTTTCACGCATCAAAACCAGCATAATTTGGAGTAAAATCAAATCCGTGAATTTTTAGAAGCATGGTTAATATTAAATTGCAAATCAGTGAGCCCGGTCGAGTCGGTACAATAAACCAATGTACTGTCACGGTTGGGCCAGCCAGCACTATGAGGGTACGATACGGTAGTATAACCATTATATATATATATATGTTTACAGGCTAAATTATTTTATAGATATTACTAAATGCACAGTATTATTGTGCAACAGAGACCAGAGAAATAATTTATCAATTTGAAATAATAATGTGTCTAGCAAGAGATATGCACTAGCTGTTTCACTAAACATTACAATGCATAAAGACGACCTATATCAAGAATATGTGATTTTATCATACACCTATTACCGTTGTGAATCGGATTTTTAACTTTATAAATTTAGGATCAATTGTTGGTAAAGGGGGGGATAGACTTTAAGTGATTCTAACTTTTTATTTATACTGAATTAATTCCGTCCAAGCATTTAAGTAATTAATGAGAAGACATCTTGTATTAAAACATTGTTATTCACAATTCTAGGACTTTCTTTTTTTACTTTGCCATGTTTTTGCACACAGTCAATTTAGTTTTTGTTTTCGGTGCATTTAAAAACAAAGTGGTTGCCAATATTTTAAATATTTAATGTATCATGTAATATTTAGAACTGTTCAGACACGTAAATAAATATAAGTTCAAATTAAATTCAAATAAACAATGGAATAAAAGTGACACGTTTCGAATTCGCAATTTGGTCTTTTAAGCATTTATCTAAATTGGTGATTTTATTTAATATTGTTAGTAGTAACATACAGATTACAGAGCGTCCTACAGGGTGTTTCAATAAACATGAGAATTCAGTGACGACTTTCATATCGTATTCGATCCATGCATGGCATTTTTCATGAGCACAAATATTGTAGTATTCCAGTTTAAACAACTAGTATCGTAAACGCCTGGTCTTGAGATTTTCAAAATGAGGTCTACCATTTTTTAATCTTCAAAATTGGCGAGATATTGCATGTGCAAAATTTGTACAAATTTCAATTAACTTAAAAAATCAAAATTGTCTTAATATCTGTTATCTTCGTCAATTTTTAAGACACAAGAAACGTATATATGAAAAGCTCGTCACACGTACAGCCTCGTTTTTATACTTTCTTTGTCAATCATTATGTTTAACCAAAACAAATGATCTTAGACCGCTGCAAGGTCGTCTTTGACAAAAATTTTCTCCGGTGGCCAAACCAAACGTTTTATACCTCCGACAGATATGTAAACAGCTTCACGTGCAGTGCACACGCTTCAAACTTAGTTAAAAACCCTCAAAACTCGTGATTTACAAATCTTTGAAACCAATTGTCAACCAACGTCAAAACTGCTTAACTGTGCGCCGAATTTTTTTGTATCAACTCATCTGATCCTATTGTCATTTTTGGTCATGGAAGGTTTGTGAACGGTCACAATTGAAAATGTTTTCCTGAAAAATGTTGACATTTATCATTTTTAACCTATTTATTATNGTGGTTACACGAAATGCAGCCATTAAGTCAAAATCAAATTAAGAAAGGTTTCGCGATGTGCCCTCTAAAAGGCTATGTTTTATACTATATATACCTTCGTTGGTTTTTATTTATATTTGCCTTGATGCACTCTTCATACAGGGTGTCCCACGAAACATGACAGTTGATGAATAGTTTTGAATGTCTTCTTCCATATACTGTATTAGATATTAAAGAATTTTTGCAGATTATTTAGTCGAAGCATTTTGTTACTATATATATGTTACTTTGAAATCAATTTTACTTTATATTATGACTGCCATATAATACTTTTTTATTATTCTCTTTGGTCTCAAACAACTTAACAAATAATGAAAGAAGACAT